AATGTCCTGTTTTGGACCCCTCTTGTGTACAGGAGTTATATAAGCACGCTTCCAGATCATTGGTACTGAATGCTCATCAATTGAGCGTTTGAATAGAAGATAGAGAGGTAAGCCAAGCGATTTAGCACAACCAATCAAAAATGCATCAGGCATATTATCGGGACCCGCTGACTTCGAAGCATCCAAATTCGCTAACAGTTTTTCAACGTCAGCAGGACTAAATATTATTTTAGATATGTCAGAGACACAAGAAGTAGTGACTAGTGAGGAGTCATATAGATCCGGCAACCCAGCAGTACCATTATCTGTTGCAGTAAGAAAGGTAGAGTAAAAATATGAGGAGAAAGCATTACAGATAGTTTCCCCTGAATTAAACAAATGGTCACCGCTATTCATGCTGGACGGTATAGCATTAGATTTCGACTTTGATTTAATAAAGGACCAGAAATGTTTTGGATTATTGCTAATGGAATTTTCAACGGACTTAATATAGGCAGCATAACAATCTTTTTCTACGATTCTAGCTCGTTTACGTAACATTTTGAAAGACTCCTCATCAGATCTATTTCCATAAGTTTTAAATTTATGATGGTACTTAGATTTCTCCTTTAGAATTTTTATTAAGGCTGGAGAGTACCATTTTGGATGAGACTTGCTTGTTATTATTTTCACCGGAATGTAATTGTCACGAAGCACATCCATAGTCCTATAAAAATATTCAACGCAGTCGTCCAGAGATTTAGAGGAAAAAACCTGGATCCAGTCAATTTTTAGAATTTCAGTATTGATAGATTTATAGTCAGCTCGGTTGTACAAAAACTTTTTATGTGGGGCGTTATTCAACTTAGCTACATCAGCGTAATCAACTTCAATTACCAAAGCACCGTGATGGCGGTCTATCGGTACAAGTGCCTCGGAACTACAATCACGAACAACAGCGGTATCGTTACTCAAAAGAAGATCCAAAATACGTCCATACCAGTTTTTAATACCGTTATATTGTTTAAGATTTAATAAATTAATTTCATCAACAATCAATATCTCGTCATTAGAACTGAGATTATTAGGGTCAAAAAAATAATCGCCAACCGTCTATACCGATATGAGTGATAAAGTGATAAGGGCCGGTAAAATTACAGCCCTACTTGAAGAAGGTTGTTCGCAAACTTACGTGTCTCAGCGGTTAAATGTGAGTCGTTCAACTGTCCAGAGGACTTGGCAACGGTATCAAGAGACCGGTTCGGTCAAAAGAAGACCCGGTTCGGGAAGAAAACGATGCACAGAATCAAGAAATGACCACTTTTGGGTGAGTCCGGCGTTGCGGAATCGTAAGGCGTCAAGTGTGGACCTGAAGAAGAGCCTTGAAGAAGTAAGAGGAGTAGAAGTTCAGGAGGAGGCTTTTGGCTGCCAATATCAGGAGTTACCGCCCAGCTCGGGGCCCTAAATTACTCCGTGAGCACCGTGTTGCTCGGCTTCAGTTTGCTCGGAACTGTGCGTCACGGACTCTGGAGGACTGGAATAAAGTATTGTTTTCTGATGAAGCTAGAATCTCTTTGTGTGGAGAGGACCGACGCCGGCGAGTGCTGCGAAGACCACGGGAACGCCATGCGGAAGTGTGTTTCGAAGAAATCACTCCTTATGGCGGAGGCTCCGTTATGTTTTGGGCAGCAATTAATTCGACAGAGCGTACGGAGTTAGTTTTCATAGAAAATGGAACATTAAATGCACACCGGTACATAATGGAAGTCCTAATTCCATATGCACAACCCACATTGACTGCGGTTGGGGAAGATTCCATTTTTTTGGACGACAATGCTCGCCAGCACCGTTCTGGCGACGTGGAAGCGTGCGTATATGCAAGAAGTTGGGATCCGTCGTTTAGATTGGCCAGCTCGAAGTTCTGACCTCAATCCAATTGAGCATGTCTGGGATGTTCTAAAGAGACGGGTAAGATCAGTGCAACCTGCTCCACAAAACATCAGGGAGCTAAAAAGAGTCATTGCAGAAGAGTGAAACTCAAAACGTTATTAAAAACATCATGGAAAGCATGCCCAGAAGGATTCAAGCTGTGATTTTGGCAAGAGGAGGTCACACTCGTTATTAGGTTTTTACATTTGTAACTTTATTTAATTAAAAAAAGTAAAAAAAAAATCTTGTCTTTATTGCCGACCACTTCTTATTGTTTGGGCGTGTACATCGGTTTTAAAGAATCCATCGTTTTTTTTTCTTTTAATTGCCCGAATTCACTTCACGCGCATTAATTTACACGATTATAAGTATACAGACTAAGTCAAAGAAATAAATTTCATTTAATTAACTCAAATCGACTTTAGAACGTAAATTTCCTTAGGTGCCCGTTTTTTTTTTGCCAAAGAGTGTATTTACCAACTTCTGCTGTCTCGATAATTTTCGTCCCGTACAAAGAAATGCAGCCGTTCACTAACTAAAACGCGGCTAAGTGACAAGTGCTCAAATGTCCGTTTTAATTAGAAAAAAATCAAGCACACAATTCTCTTTTGAAAACAGTTAAAGTGTTCGACTTACCGGAACCTACCCTAACGATGCAGAGCTGACAATTTCAATATTCTGAAAGTGGGTTATGATTTTTTATATTAAAAAAAAAATTGTCACATAGCCGCGTTTTAGTCAGCGGCGGCAGAATGATCCATTCATAAAACTTCAATCATCACTAAAAACAATTTTGATCAATTTCATCATTTCTTTTTTTCCATAAAAATTGACTATGCCTATCATTGACCTACCAATAAATGGACATCGGATTCGCGCTTAAAAGTGTCCGCATCTATAGGGCGTTAGAATCACATACAGACCGTCAATCGCGCAACAGTCTTCGTTTGTCAGCGCGGTTGTCAATCATACAGTACCATATAATAATAACTTGTAAAAATTACTGCAGTAAAGTGTAAAAACAGGGTACCTAGTTAATAATTAGGTATATTCACTACGTAATATTTATCGGCAGTACAAATTGAAAATTCTATAACCCTTGTCTAGCACACGAAGTTATGCCGTCTTATTATATTGATATAATAAATCTGTATTATATATTACTCTACACTAAAGAAAACAAGAAAAAAGAGAGTGTCCGTTCTCATTACTTATTTGTTCTCTGACGTTAGTGTTGTGTAGATTATAAAAATATAAAATAAATAAGTAACTGTAAAAAAATTCAGAAAAAATTATAAATTCAAAATTGTAATACAAATTCATAATTGATATTATGATTAAAATAAAATAATAATAAACAGTACATAATAAACAATATTTGTATTGAATATTGAATAAGTGAAGAATTGGTAATTAAATTACAAATGATAATTTTTTAAGAAAATTACTATTTTTTCGAACAAAATATTATATTACGCTATATTTATAAAATGAAACTATTATTCCGGATTTAAATCGCTTCGAATCGAATGTGTAACAATCGCGAAAACCTCGGTTACGCTATATTGTTTATTATATGTATTATATGTATAATAAACAACTTTTCTTTGTTTGTTAAAAGTATCGGATTGAATATTTAACTTTAGGTTTTGCTTTATGTTTTCGACCCAGCTCGGATACGTGAAGAAATTCGGTTCTGACACGCTGGCACGCACTGGTCGCAGCTTTTTCGTATACTAACCTAACCTTAACACACAGGATGGCGTCGAACCAGCTCGGAAACAAACGGAACACCCAAATTCATAAGCGAACATGTTGGCCGTGGGTTAGCGCACGTGATCGCAACGTACGCCATATATGTGTAAGTCAGTTTTCGTTCGACATTTTTGACGTCAATCGTGGGCTATATGTCCGCCAGTGAATGCTCATTTAGAACAGCTTCACTTCATATAACATACGTACGTACGTACAGTACAGGCGGCTTGCTGTCATGAGACCTAGCTCTAGCCCCTCTGAGATGGTGCTACCTTGTGGGTACAGAAACACATTATCTACAGCTTACTTTTTAAATTTCTGCTTTATTTAACTAAAGAGCGTTTAATCCATGTTTAATCAGCCCTTGTAACGATCAGGCTCAGGCAGACAGGCTCATAGCGTATAATGTAGTGGTCTCGTCTACCCATCTCGCTCTAACATACGTGTATACTAACGCTCTTTCACTTGCATTGCCAATCTATGGGTACCTATATACTAAATGATTAACCGTAATCATTTAATAATTGATAGGAAATGAAACAATTTTTTTACAGATCTTTTTACTTTCAGTTTCACAGAAAAGTAGAGTAGGTATAAGTTATATTCATTATTGCTGTCAATGTACATTTGCAAATACTTACTTATGTAAAAATTAACGATTTCCTTTCCTCAAAAGGGTGCTTCTTTCGAAATGTTTTTGTATCGCTCATAAGATGCCTTCTTACACATTTACTTATTTATTTTATTTTTGATGGTGAATACAGCGTGTATCACAACGAAACAGAAACTATAATTATAAGCAAAAACAGTTCCGTACTGATAAAAATACAAAACAATAGCAAAGTACAGCATTGACAACACTAAAAAAACTAAACGACATTGTACAGACAGTCATGACACATTATAGAAGCAATGTAACATTACGCAAGTTAGATTACTTTAGTAATAAAAAATGAATTAGATAATACATTCTTAACGTACGCACAATTTGTGTTAAACAAATCAAAATCGCAAAGAGCAGAAACTTTGTTAAAATTATTGCTCGCATGCCATATAAACGAATTCCGTTTGTAATATTGTAAAGCGACAGGTAAATTAGGAATTAGTGACTCGTTACGTAAATGCTTATCTGCCCCCGTAGCCTGGCTACGCATGATAGTCGCGAAGCGCCCGATAAAATTGAAATAAGCGCGTGCTATTGGCTGTCTTAATCAGATCTAATTTAGATAGCCAATAAGGCGCGCTTATTTCAATTTTAACGCGCGTGTCGCGACTATCATGTATAGCCATGCTACGGGGGCTGGAACCCTTAAGTGAATCTTAGACATAAACTCGGGGCAATCGACGATATTGGTAGTAATTTTAATGAGATAGTTTATGTTTGCTATTTTACGCCGCAATTCAAAGTGAAGTATGTGGTCTCTTTTGCAGATATCTAAATAGTTTGAAGAGCGGTAAGGCTGATTAAATTTAAAACATAAGTAACGAATAATTTTTTGATGAATTCTTTCAATACGCGATATTATACATTGGGTTCCAGATCTGAGAGGCATACTCCAAGTTGCCACGCACAAGGGCACATTATAAGATTTTTAGTGTTTTGGCATCTTCAAAGTCAACCGAACTACGCCTCCGAATCCCAGTGCGTTATTGGCTCTAGTAATTATGGCATCAACATGAGTGTCAAAGAGCAACTTGGAACACACCAAAATTGTTAATAAACAAAGAGTACAATTAAAAATAACACGCGTCTCAGACATGCTCATGATCAAATCTATGTTTACATATGCAAATTACACTTGACACGAAACTATTTGTATGTACCTTATCAAGACTACTCAATTACACTACAACTAATCCGTGGCACAGATGCTCCTGAGAAGAAGAAGGAAACAGATATTAGTTCAAACTTACACTTTACTTTAACTATAATTCTATTAATTCATAAATAACACAGAAATCAAACATCCCGAAACGCTTAAATATATCACCCACGGAGTTTGTGGATATTGTCATTCAACTAAGCAGACTGAAGTTGTAAGCGCTTTGAAGGTAAAACCAAGTGAATGGAACTAAGGGTCGTATTCCAGAACTCTACTCAATGCTCAAGTAAGGATTTGAGCAGATTTGAGTATGATTTCAATCACTGGGAGTACGACCCTAATGGCAAGGACTTGAGTGTGATTTCTAGTGCTTTGAATCATACTCAAGTCAGGACTTGAGTATTGCAGTGAGCACTGAAAATCATACTCAAGTCCTTGCCATTAGGGTCGTATTTCCAGTGCTTGAAATCATACTCAAGGCTGCTCAAATCCTTACTTGAGCATTGAGTAGAGTTCTGGAATACGACCTTGAGTCTTCATGATTGCTTGAACCAAACACTACAACTTTGATTTCTGACAATACATAATTGTCAAGAATCATCAAAGTTGTATCATGTCAGTATTGTTTGTTTGTACCTATTTATGCTAGGTTTGTATATACTTATGTGTGACCGCCATTTAAGGAACAAAGTATTCATGAAAATGTACCAAGGTGGCAGACAGAACTGAGGCTGGACCATTGTAAAAAATTTAAACCCTTATGAACGTTCGTTATATTTCCTATTGAATTCATAAGTGAGCGAAACTGTGACATACCAACAGACATACGGGCACACAGAAATAGCCATGTTGAAACTACAGGAATACCTAGTTGAGCTACCGAATCTTGGTAATACTTAGGTATGTGTGGATAGTTCTTTGAGCAGTGGACTAGAAACGAATCATCCAGGACCACATTTTGGCGGAGTAATCGATTATGAAAATGTACCTATGTCCCGCCACAAATATATACTGTTTTGATGTAAATGAGTATCTCTGTAAATAAACTATCCACGCTTACCTAATAAAGAAGCACCTTGCAAGTATGTACAGTATATTTAAGCACTATATTAAATGAGCACGTGGTACACTCGCGAGTACTTGCTATGAATGTCAGCAAACTAAGTACTTAGATTGTGTTTTTGTAACCATGCGGACTGGACTCGTCTTGAGCCTTTCCGTCTTTCGGTCTGTTTCTATTCTATTTCCGCCGCAAAGTCGAAGCACGCTCGGCACGCTGCCTGTCTTTTCCCGGCTCTCGTGCCTTCGATCGGTCAATAAGCTTGAGGTCTTAAATTTGTAAGAGCATTGGAAGTGTTTTATAAGTCGATTAGCGAGGGCGCTAAATAGTGTTTCGTGGGTTTATTACCATCTTCAGAGCACCTCGCGTGCTCTAGAGGTACATGCCGTTGACGAGGTAGTCCGCGTCGTGCGCTAGCGGCTTGCCGCGGCGGCGGCGGCGAGCGGCGCGCGCGCGGCACCCCGCCAGCACGCCCAGCACGCCAGTCATCAGCACGCCTGCGCGAAACAGCGCATTAGTGCTTTTGCCGCTGCTCAGCATGAAACGGACCAGAGTAGCTAGCCTTGTTTCCCTACATTTATATCTATATTATGAATAGAAGTATCAACAGTGTCACATGGATGGACCATTCTCATTTCTGCAACTTTTTTTTGTGCATATGTATTATTAAAAAAGATATACTTGTAATACTTAGTCAATTCCTATTTAAAATTAATCGAGGTTGTTTGTATTAATATAGTTTTTATTTTTACTTACACAATATAAATATTTATTTAAATCATCATTAAGAAAGTGACGAAAATGTCACTTCCATGTCGTGTGCAAAGCCCATTTACAATGATACAAATTAAAATGAAATATATTTGTCTGTAATAAATAAACTAATCTGTATTATTTTACGATAATACATAGAATAAACTTTCTAAAAGAGACTAAATAATTACAACATAAATAATGGATTTAAAATATTTCATGACGTTTGTGCATGAAAAAGTTTTCACCTCCATGCATAAACTTATTGAAAGCAGCCATAATTTAGTAAATCAGTCAACAGAGTTTCTGAACAAGTACAGACTACAAACACAATGCCATCCATATGCCATCTTGAAAGTTTTTGACAGTTTGCCACTTCCAGGATAATAGTTCTGGCGCACGGACCTTTAAAGTACGATTTTTCAAAAATTAGCTTGCTGTTTTAATCACTTTTGTGGATTACGTATCATATTATTTTATTCAATTCGGATCTATCTATATAATATGAGCTATTGTAACCGTCATCTAGGCATTTCATCGTATTTTATAAATAGAAATCAAGGTCACGAAAAAACGGTATTTAAGTTTAAAATCTCAATTCCATGGACGTCACCCACGTGGATTACTGTTATCCATAGAGGTGACACAATTTCCATGGAAGTGACAATACAATAATGGATGCTCTTTGTTAACTTAAATAGTAATAACGCACACACTCAACATAACCCCGCACTAGGGAAACCCTGTGTCGCCGGTGCCATGGACACCCACATAGACAACCACAAATTACACCCAAACTCACGAGATAAATAGATGGAGGCCATATAAATATTTCTCCCGGCCCGGGAATCGAACCTGGGACCTCTGCGTGGCAGTCCGGCGTGGTAACCGTTCGGCCACGGAGGCGGTTAATTAATATAATATCAACGTAATTAATCTGATTTATATATACTTTAGTAGATAATGGAGTCTACGAAAAAATGTTAGGAAGAGATAGACGTAAGAAAAAGAATGCAAGAAGAGCAATCGGGATAAAATGTAAATGTAGGGTCAAGAGCATGTCAAGCTTGACACTTAAGATTTAAATCCAACTCTATGCCGCTTATGATAAGAACGATCCAAAGTACAAAGTGTGAAGCTTGACGTGCTCTTGACTGTACGTTACAGAAAGCGAAAGGAGAAAATAATAAGTATTATCTATTGATGAAATGTCAGAAAAAAACAGAGCAAGGAATGGCGTAAAAGGACCAATGAACCGATTGCGCATCTTCCTTCTATTTCAAACATCTCCTTCTGTCCCAAGCATACGATCTTGTTCTGTTTCAAGATGTCCTTCATCTTGACTAAGCATATCGCAGCTTCATTTTGCATCTACGATCGTTATCACTAAAATTGCAATTATAAAGTCATAATCTTAACGTACATTACTATTCGTCACCTAAAAATCCCTTGCCGTCCCGTCTTGTCAGTGGGCATTGGGACTAACTTTATTACGAGTACTTTCTTTTATAATTAAAACTGTTTAATTTTGATAAGGTAATAACATCTTGCTTAGCTGGTGAAAATGAAGAGGCTTACTTTTGTATTAGATCAAATGACAACGAAACAGTTCAGTAAATAGTGACCTTATAGTAATTAGTGTTTTATTTTATTTAAATTGTTAAACTATTTTTCATGTTATAAAGCTGAATATTTAATCATTATTTTACCAGGATCACGATAGACTAACACGGCCATTGCCTTTTGTACTCCAAGAGTAAATTTAGATAATATGAAAATATCACAACATCATAATTTATTTAGCATTTTCCCAAAAAGTAAAAATTTTGTGTTGACCACTTTCATTCTAAAAGTGCGAAGTGTTAAGTTATTAATATTGATTATAAAAACTATTATATATATACTGGTACCTGTCACCTAATATTAAAAACTGAATAGAAGACTGTGTACCTACTGTTCCAAAAAAAATATTTTAATAACATAGAATTAACATAATTGAAAATACTTATTACTTTAAAAAGCCTAAAATGTAATCAAATCTAAGTGATCACGTAAATAAAGATAATTAAGTAAAAAATACGTTTTATTCTAAAGTAAATCATACATGCTTTATTAAAATTAATGTAATATGTAATATATTAAAAAAAAAAAAAAAAAAAAAAACATGTAGGTAATATGTCATTACCATGGACTTGTGTCACTTCGGTGGAGGCATTTTTTCCCTTTTTTCATGAAAACTACAGTGATAATAGCTAGGTTCTTAAGTGAAACATAATGCAGGATACGGTACCTTTCATTTGAGACTACTTTGAATCATATCAAAAAACATTGTTTTTTTTTATTATTCGAAGTCCGTTTTTGAGAATGGTCCAGAGTCCAGATACCAAGGTAATAAGCGGGTCAAGGTGATAGTTGTTTTTGTTACGATCGGCTACTGACCGAGCACGAGCAGCAGCAGCGCGGCGGGCGGGCGCTCGCTGCGGCCCTCGCGGTCGTCCGCGTCGCGCGCCGCCGCCAGGTGCACCTCCTGCCGGGACACAGAGGCCTTCGTAGCCAAAGTTGGAAACGATATTGAAAGCGCGCGTCTTTCGGGAAGGGTACCTTTTGAGGTTCAGTTTTCTTGCCGGCGGAGGCCTCGACGACGTGGCGCGGCTGCGGCGTCGAGGCGGGCGGCCCCCGGGGCGGGGCGGCCGGCCGCGGGCCCTTCTTGGGCGCATCGTGCGGTGCGAGCCCGCCCAGGGCCGGGAACACGACTAGCTCTGCGGAGCGCGACCCTCCCGCATTGGCCACGCTTACCGCTGCACCCGGCTCGGTTTCCTGCGGTGCAAGTGCAATAACAAGATATTGAATAGTATATAATTTACGCGTTTATTATTAGCGAAGGAACACGATTTTACGCAAAAATTGAAAATAGTGACCGTGTCGAGCGGCGGCGGCGGCTGCCAACCGCGCGAGTCGCCGTCACCCCAGTCGCTAGCGGCCGTACGCCACCCGCCCCACTCGTTGCCACCGCCTGCTAAAGACGTATGCGAATACACTCGTAAGTAGTTGTAAATGAGGGTTATTTTTTGGAATTGGTAGCACATATCGCACAATCTTGTACCTGGCGACGTCTGCCAGATGCGGCGCTGCCAGGCGGGCGGCGGGGCGGGGGGAGCGAAAGGTGCGTAAGGCAGCGCGCCCTCGTCCTGCACCAATCCGCCTTTGTGGCTGAAGATGTGCGGCACTACACCTCCCACACCTGTCACCACCCCACCACCGCTGACACCGCCCTCTGTCCACAACACATAATATTACGCGAATATTTTGAATAAGTAGTCGTCTGCGGTGCGGAATAACCGAAATAACCCATCACCGACCGGTGTACCGCCGCGGTGGCTGCGCCTGCATTAGCCGGTGCGGCCAGCGTGCTCCTCCCGCCTCTGCCGCTGCGCCCTCGGCGACCTCTGACAGGAAATTGTCCTGCCAAAACAGTTCAAAAATTTTAACATGTTTACTATGTGCTGTAGTAAGGGGATAGTGCTGTATATACCTACCTAGTTATGGTTTCTAGCTATATGGGTTGCTAGCCAGAAGCCATAACCGTGTCGCAAAAGATAGGTAGGTACTTACCTTGTAAGAAGTGTAATAATTTATTACTAATAAATAACCCCTCATGAACGTAGGTACCTCTAGAACCTCTAGAGCGTAGCAATACGAAACAATAAACTACTACGAGCGACCAAACCTTTTGTACGGGATTCGGTGAGTCAATACCTTAGGTAGTGCGTTAATCTTAGGTCAACGTTCTGGGTTCTGTATGGATCTTACTTACGACGTTATACGACTTATGAGTTATTCACAGCAATTTACACAATTCCAGAAGTAGCTGGGTTCGAAAGAGAGCCAAGGTAGGTATCTACAGATCGCGTTGTACGGTCTACCTGCGGTTGTCGTACAGGCGCAGGAGGAGGTAGTGCTGGCGCGGGAACGGCAGGCGGCGGCGCCGGCGCAGTGCGCGGCGGTGCCGCCGGCGGGGGGCACGCGAGCTCGGGCGCCTCGTCGCTGCCGTCGGCGCACTGGGGCACGCCGTCGCACGCGTTGTACACCGCGATGCACTCGCCGCCCGCACGGCATTCGAATTGGTACCGGCTGCATCGCCCTGCCAACACACACACACACACACACCGCGCTCGACAGCCGAGTTCCTGAAGTGCCCGTTGCGTCGCCGCGTCTGCGACGCATATCGTAAATCGTCATTAAAAATCATCGGAAATCAAAAATAGCGTACCTAGTGTGGGCACTACCTACCGTAGAAGAAAATAGATCGAAACAATTTATATTACAAATTTTTTATTATCAACCTTTGTTACGAGTCGATCTAAACTATCAAAACTGCCTAGGTGGCCGAACGGTTTACCATGCCGGACTGCCACGCAGAGGTCCCAGGTTCGATTCCCGGGCCCGGAGAAATATTTGTGTGGCCTATATTAATTTATCTCGTGAGTTTGGGTGTAGGTAATATATGGTTGTCTATGTGTGTGTCCATGGCACCCGCGACACAGGGTTTCCCTAGTGCGGGGCTATGTTGAGTGTGTGCGTTATATAATCGTTTTATTTCCCAACACCAGTTTGCTCTCGGTAGGTAACTTTTAATAGGTTCGGGTGGCCTCATCAAAAAAATGATTCTACCCTCATGGTTCAACATTTTATAAATTGCCATATTCAAAAGGGACAGTGTATTAGGTGGGTACTTTACTTGCAACACCCACTAATTCTGAGTAGAGATATACGCCGATCGTGAAATCGTCGGCGGCCGGCGGCGGCGGCGTGATCGACGTGAAATCGGCTGGGCATATATTTGTTAGGTGTTTAAAAACACTAAAACATTGTACAAATCAACTTTATATTCATTTTCAACGCTTCTTACACTTTAACTTGACGGCAGGTTATGTCTATGGTATTTGACAGTCTAACAGCATTAACATTCATGCGTTGGGATAAATAGTGTAGTTACCTATCTATGCACTTAAACGTAATGTAATTTATTCGAAGCAAACGCAATGCCTTACGTGAAGGTTGCAGCATCTGATGCGAAGTAGACGGCGCCGTAGGTGGGGGCGGGGGTGTTCGGGATTCGGGTGGCCTTGGGCTCGTGGTTCCTCTAAACGGATAAACATGATTCATGAGTTATATAAGATGGCAGAGACGGTACTCAGTGTCATAGTTTTGTAATGGTGTCGCACCGAGACGTAGGCGAAGGCGTGGGCGCGGCGACTGTGGGCGCAGGCGGGGCGGGGGGCGGGGGCGAGGCAGCGGGTGCCGGCGCGTGGTGCGCCAGCCGCTCCTGGTCCTGCAGCTCGGCCAGCCGCCTGCTCAACGCCAGCACGCCACTACTGAAGTTGCCGTGCGCTGTGAACTTGCACCGGAAATCCTCTGGGGGACCGCAGTTGAATAGGTAACAGCTGCCGGGGCTCTGTCGATGTTAAAAACAATACTTAAGTTTTATTTACCCAAATACGACGAAATCCCAAAAGCCTCGACCGATTTCCATTAGGTAAAGGAAGCGTCGAATGGTTTCTGCCTATATGGCCATAGGTACCTACCTATCTAAATATACTACATACAGCGCCGTGCATGATGCAACGGGCAGCCACAACCCCGACATTTAGTTAGATAGGTAGAATCTTTATTCACCACCATGACAAATACATACACACACATGATACAGACATTAACTTAGACGTAACACAATAATATATTCTACTAGTATCTCTCTTGGAAGCCATGGCAATGAAAAGGCGCTAACTCAGCATAAATGACGCGGCTGCCCGCGACGCTGGTATTCTGCCAGGACCCTATAGGGACAGGGACGCCACTCGTAAAAACCCAAAACAAAACCAATTTAATTCATATCGAGTTCTTAGGTTTTCGCGATTGTTACACATAGGAAATGATACTATTACTGACCATGTCCAGTCAACCGTGATCATGGGACCTGTAAAGGGTCCGAAACGTCTGTTTGTTTGAAAAAACAAATATACGCGATTTAAATCCGGAAAAATAGTTTCATTTCCAATTTCATTCAATTCAAATTCTAACCAATTTAACTCAATTCAATCCAATTTAATTTCATCCAATTTTTTTTTCCTCAAACACTTTAGCCACTCATATTTCTGCATATTTAAAAGATACTCTTGCAGCTTCTGCTTGAAAGTTCTTTTTTTGACGTTGTTACGGATAGGAGGAGGAACATTGTTCCAATAACGAGTGGCTAAGTGTCGTACTCCAGAACTCTACTCAATGCTCAAGTCAGAATTTGAGCAGACTTGAGTATGATTTAAAGCACTGGAAATACGACCCCAATGTCAAGGACTTGAGTATGATTTTCAGTGCTCACTGCAATACTCAAGTCCTGACTTGAGTATTGAGTAGAGCTCTGGACCTAAGTGTCGGAAACTCCCTCTAAATGCAGCGGTACTATGTCGAGGGGTTGTAAGCAGAAACACCCTTGTCGACCTTGCTCCAAAGCAAGAGTTTACCGTGGATGACCAAGTGAGTTTCTCATACAAATAATAAGGTACGTGAGACTGAACAACAATTGAAGTTTCCATTCAGCAAGACCATTTTAAGCATAGGGGAGCCTGGTCTAAGAAGACGCATCCGATAAGAGTAAGTACGTACGTATAATGCACTGTTTGAAGTACGCAATGTCGATTGCCGTGAAGTTTGCCTGTAAGTTCACCAGCACCCCTGGGTAATAATTCCTGTAATTCCACCCGTCCACCATCCCCCCGATATTTATTATTCGGGGTCCTTGAATATATGTGTTTTCTATGTATGTTCTTTGTTTCTTTATTATAGTTCTTCTTTATTTATTCACTATGTGTTATATATTTATTTCAATGTATATGGTTTTTATTACCTAACTAGCATTATATTTTTGTAGAAATAAAAATGGTCAGCATTAAAAATTTTAAAATTGAAATAAAATAAAATCCATGTTTTTAATTAATCTAAATTGTATGAAGTCATTTGTAAAATTGTTAAAATAATAATAGTGTCATAAAATTGTAAAAAATAATAAAATAGTGTAAATCATTGTAAGAAAAAATATAATAAATCAAATAAAAATTGCATCAGAGTTTAAGTAATAATTTCGCCCACGTTGTCCCCTCCGCACTACGAGGGCTTTGTTTTCGCCTTGTTGGCCTGCGCTACTGCTTTCATAATCGCCACAGAAGTCGGCAAATTTTGGTCCTGAACGCTTCCCTGCCATGAGGGCGCTCCATATCGAGGTCGAGAGTTTCTCGTCGACCTCGAATTCGAGCTTCAACCTGTTGGCACCGAATACGCGGCATTTGTTCAGGACATGTTCGAGTGTCTGTGCGGCGTCTGGGGAGCACATGCATCTAGGGTCATCGCAGCATCTGAACCGATGGAGGTACGCCGCGTTCTCGCCGTGACCAGTCCACGCCTGAGTCAGCCAGTAGGATACGCCAATTTTCCCGTAGACTCGGTACGCCTGGCGTTAGTCCGGGAAAAACAATTTGGTGATGCTGCCTTTTGCGGACGCAGAATACTCCTCTTGCCAGGTGTCCAGGGTTCGTTGGCGTATCACCCGTCTGGCGTACGAAAGAGGGAATCTGTCGTAGTCTGCAGCCGTTTTCTTATAGAGGGCAGCATGTTTGGCGAGCTCGTCCGCGTGCTATTTGCCGACAGTGCCGACAAATTGGTATGATTGTCTGTCTCCTAATATAATCAGCCTTTCTCAAAGTGGACGATAACGCCCCCTTGTGAGCGCAGCAGGCCTAAAGGGGGGCGGTGAGAGAGCCAGAAAAAAAAATGGAGGCGTTGCGTAGAGGCTTAAGGGGAGATTTGTAATTTCATCTAGGTAAACTCAGGGTCGTATTCCAGAACTGTACTCAATGCTCAAGTGAGGATTTGAGCAGACTTGAGTATGATTTCAAGCACTGGAAATACGACCCTAATGGCAAGGACTTGAGTATGATTTCTAGTGCTTTGAATCATACTCAAATCCTGACTTGAACATTGAGTAGAGTTTTAGAATACGACCCCTAGACACCCACTGAGCTCTCTACTCTCGACTACAAATTGTGGACATGAACTAATATTAATTAAGAGATTGCTCAAACTAACTCGGTGCGATATTTCTCTCCGCGTAGTTCATATATCTGTTTTATTGAATAAATAAAATAAAGATCATGTCAATCGATCGCTCCGTTTCGAAATGAAAGTAACACAAAGAAACAAATAAAAAGGCAACAGACACAGTTTCGCATTTTAATAGTTATTAGTATTCCTAGATAGGTAATTTTCGTAGATAATAGACCGCTGGCAATCATGTTTTAACAAGTTTTTATTAAATAACCCGATTTGTGCATTCCTGTATCAATCGACTCGTTAATAGAATATTTGTTCTTACTTGTTGAGTACGATTGAGCGTCGAATGAGATAAACGAGTTTATGTATGTTTGTCGTATTCCTGTCGGTGTGTGCTAATTATGCAATCCTATATAAACAACGTAATATTTATTTTATTTTCATTTGCGGTTTCGCGCGTAATAGATAAGCAGTACTTAGGTTCAACACTTACTTACGTACTTCTCAAACCAAAACAATGTCGGAAGTAAAAAAGAAGAGACGGCAATACTGCGCGGAATATATTAAATTCGGATTCATTGAAAAGCCCACAATTCGTCGCCTTTGTGCCTTCTATGTCTAAAAACATTTTCGAATGAAGCAATGAAGCCTGCAAGATTGCAAGATCATTTGAATAAAATGCATTCAGATAAGAAAGACAAGAATGTAGCATATTTTCAAGAGCTAAAGAAGAAGCATAATACTCAGCCAAGTGTAGCAAAACTCTTATCGGCGGCTGCTAAGCAAGATGACGACGGACTTCGAGCTTCGTACAATATCTCTTTGTTAATTGTTCAAAAAGGCAAACCACACAACATTGGAGAAGTGTTAATTTTGCCAGCAATAAAGGAAGTACTTAATGACTACTGTGCTTCATAAACCGGCCGCTGATATTATACGAAAAATTCCTTTGAGTAATAATTCTGTGCAAAGGCGAATTGATGAAATGGCTTCCATTGAAGAATCATTGTGCAATCATCTGAGGACTAGTCAATTCTCAATTCAGCTCGATGAGTCCACTTTACCAACGAATGAAGCATTGTTGCTGTCTTACGTGAGGTTTATTAGAGATGAGAAAATATGTGAAGAACTATTTTTGCTAGAAATTTAGAGACCGATACAAAGGGCGAAACCATATTCAATGCATTCAATGCGGTAAAAGTTTTGTGATGAGAAAGAGATTCCCTTGAAAAATATTATATCAGTTGCTACGGATGGCGCTCCGGCTATGACAGGGTGCCATAAAGGCTTCATAGCGTACTTAAAAAATAAAATTCCAGATGTCCTTGCTGTACATTGCGTTATTCATATACAACATTTGGTTGCTAGAAATTTAAGTGAACGACTATTTCAATCACTGCAATATGTCATCAAAGCAGTCAATAAAATCCGTAACAGCTCTTTGAATGATAGATTATTTCATCAGCTTTCTGTTACTAATGACGAAGATTTCAACCGTTTGTTGTTTCAGACTGAAGTTCGTTGGTTATCAAGGGGCAATGGTCTGATTCGATTTTACAACCTGTTTGACACTGTGATAGAGTTCTTGGAAACTAAACATACAGAATTGCGCAACAAGCCCATTACATCAAAGAATGATATAGCTTACATGACAGACCTGTATAAATTGTTCAACGACATGAATCTCCAACTGCAAGACGATGAACTAAATTTAATTAAAACAAAAAATGTCGTTGCTGCTTTCGCAGCCAAACTGCTTCTACCATAAGTCAATGGCTTCTACACAAAAATAATATGGGCAGACGTGAGTTTCACAATTTCCCGAATTTATCAGTATCCAGCAGTAACGACGACTTGTTTGCCTACTGCCAACATTTGGAAAACCTCCACATTGACTTCACCGAACGATACCAGGACATTTTGAACTTGGAAATACCAGACTGGTTGTTGGATCCGTTTTCAAATGTCAACACATCAATATCACCTCAGCTGGAAGAAGAACTTATAGAATTGACAATGAACGATGAAATAAAAGTCAAGTTCGAAAATGGCTACCAAGAATTTTGGCCACAAAAACCGATCCCGCAATTGTACCCTGGATTGTGGTCAATCGTTCAAGGATTCTTGATAGCATTCCCATCGTTATGTTTGTGTGAACGTGGTTTTAGTGCTGTGACAACGCTGCTTACCAAAAAGATTTTTGCATGTTACCGAACGTGGTGACTTGCGGCTGTTCTTGAGTAAATTGGGACCTGATATCAACAAACTTATTAAACAGCATCAAATTCATCCTTCACACACAGTTTTTATATTAGAATCAATTATGTTTGTTTTATTTTGAATAAAAGATACTCTGTCTGAATATTATAAAGTTGCGTTTCAATAATCGTTCTCATTGGCAGGTGTAGCCCTTAAGAGTTAACTTCAGACATGAGCGCCGTTGTGTACCTACTACCTATTGCGCTCAGGTCTCAAGTTAACTCTTGCGGGTTATAGTAAAAGTCTCGTTTAGAATGAATGTTTAATCTCTGCTAGTATAGCTCACAATAATTAACTAAATTTGAAGTTATAGTGGTTTTTAGGTAGGTGAAAAAAATGGGGGCGCTAAAAAATATTTTATTCTCAAAGTGGGCAGTAGACAAAATAAGTTTGGGAACCCCGTAATACATGCTAACATTTTATTGCTTAATGCCAAGAATACAAAATATGTTAAATTTGAATTACCGAACGTAAAATAGACTAGTCCAAGCATAGAAATAAACGGGGAAAAGTTAAACCTCGTCAATAAAGCAGTCTTCTTGGGAGTGATCTTAGATAGTAAACTTCAAATGGTTTCCACATATATCTTCCTTGGCCAGCTGATTAAGCTCCGCTGCATACGTAGTCCGCAGAAAACGTAAGCTTACCGATGTTAGTAGTACCTACTGCTAGACTAGTTTACTTAGTTACTTCCATAGTATAATGTCCTACGGGATTCTCATGTGGGGTAAAGCGGCAGGTATTCAAACCATATTTGTATTGCAAAAACGAGTGATTCGTTCTGTGTACCGTCTAGGCTCTCTGGTTTCTCTCAGAGAAAAGTTTATCATGACTGTGGCATCACAGTACATTTACTCAAATATTTTATATGCTCGTAAAAATATACATAATTTCAATAAGAAAGAAGATATCCATAATATTAACCTTAGAGCTAAGTCCAAACTCATGGTACCACGATTTCGTTTAACCAAGGTAAACAACTCTTTTATGGGGAACTGTATACGGTTTTACAATAAGATTCCGGAGCATATATTAAGTTTATCATTTCCTAACTTTAAAAACTACATTAAAAATATTTTGATTGAAAAGTCATATTACAAAATTGAAGACTACGTGTTAGATGGAAATTATGGAAAGACGACACGGCTCCAGCATCCACACAAATTTGATTCAAAGTCCCATGGTCACGGTTGCCTGTAAAGGGCCCGAAACGTCGGTTTGTTTGAAAAAACAAATATGCGCTATTTAAATCCGGAAAATTAATTTCATTTCCGAGATATTTTTTTTTAAAACCCCCAACTATTACAATTTTTTGAATCTGACATTCTGCCTGTTTGGCATTTTACGTTTCTGGCATAATGCGTCAAAACGTTTTGGGTTTAAATAATTTTAAACGTAGTGCTTAAATTCTCTTTGACCTATTTTAGTAATACGGCAGTGCTCTGCTAAATGTGTGTTTTTATGTAAAGTCAGAAATATGTTAACCAAACAATTGTAGCAATGAATCTATAAAAAATTACGTCGCCAAAAATATAAAGAAATGAGGCACATTTTTCTTTCTCCAGGCCTTTCATGTGTTATCTACTAGGTATTATCTAGTAGTCACTTGCCTACTAATGATACTCGCCTAACTAACTTACCGGGACGGTAGCTGCCATTTTTTATGGTCATTCATTGCTAGACACAAGTCATCAATGATATCTCTGGAAAAGTGACGAAATTAATTTATCGACGCAACGTCGATCCATAAGTGGGTCCCTATCAGTGAATATTAAATAAAAAAATGTGACCATGTGCTAAGCAAAGTGTGGTTTCCAACGCTTTCATGACAATCACACCTTCCAGGCAGTGTGTTTTTACATTTTAGTTTGCGACACAGCTTACGAACCTGCCTCAGAATAAATAACTACAGGTATATATCTATCTAGTGACGTGAGTGAGTTAAATAGAAAACAATGGCATGCGGGAGCGTCCTATCATTGATAAGGCACTTTACACAGTGATAAGCAATGACAATACATCAGCCCGGCAACTGACGGGGGTCGAAGTTAAGTCGTTCCATCCCATCCGTCCCACCTTCTCCTCGTAGACGAACACATCACAGGCATCGGTCTCGCAACAGAGGCGGAGGCACTCCTGGCGAGCGCCCACGTCCAGCTCGGAAAGATAGCGCGCGCCCATCTCGCGCGATTCCTCCGTGCGTATGATTTTGTCACGCTGCACGTCGAAGCGCGCCGCGCACGCGGCCGGGTCGAGCTCGCGCGTGCCCGCCGGCGCCGCCAGCCCCGCCGCCAGCGCCGCCACGCAGGCCCACCGCCGAGCCCACATCGCAGCCGCACAGTCGCTACAGGCGCCGACCGAGCGTCCAGCCTCACCGCCGAAAGCCGACTACAGGCCAGTGGCGGAGGCCGTGTGCCCGCGGTCGATATCGGCGCGCCTGCGCGACTCGCGCGCGCACCGGGCTGCTAACGCTGCGAATGACATTCGTTAACATTCTAAGGCTAGTGCGACATCCACCCCTTCGCCAAGTGTGTATTTAGTAGTTTTGGTAAATCAAAAGTAAGCGCGCGTACGGCGAGCGGCGGAGGTAGTTGTGGCAGTGGCGGCGGTAGCGGCGGCGCGACTCCGGCCGCACCCGGTCCCGGCAGCCGCTCGCGGGCGCCATGTCGCTGTTCTTCAAGTTCAGGAGCAGCGTGAGTAGCGTCCCGTTCCCTACTCGTCGTCGTGCTCACTGCTACAAACGCCCTGTTACCGTTTACGATTATAATCCCAGCATACGCGTTAATGTTAGACTTTGCTTAACGTAGGTACTCATATTTACATAATGTTGGTAATTGATCTTTGACAGATCGTGTTTCTACTCTTTAATCTAAACACTTCTGAGTTTGTACTATCGATTCAGTAGGTAAATAAATATTTATTGCCCGCATAAACTCGGTTCTGGCTATAATGTAGCGGCCATTCTGCGCCACAACTGACAACGGGAAGACCGGGCCGCGGCAAATCGGATGGCCAATATATGTACACTTATTTTTATTTGACAATGCATGTCTATAAATAGAACTTATGAAAAATGAGATTGCATATTTTTAAAACGTTATTATTACGTCAAAGTTTTCCAACAATGCAAAGCCACATCAAAAGACAATATTTACACGGGGCCAATTGAGGAGCCTTTCCTCTGTGGAAGCCAAGTCAATAAGCCAGTCCAATGTGAAATTCCAAGGCAAGGCAAACTAGTGGAGAGGCTCAGGATGCACGATCACACAAGGCCATTACGTGCGGGTGAAGGTATTGGCCCGAATCTTGGAATCTTTTTATTGAGTGAATTGTCTTTATCACTGGTCTGAAGACACTCTGTCAAGGATTGTCTCTATTTACACGACGCCAATAACGGCTTGGCTTAACGGAATGGCCCGTCGACAAAAGTGCCGCCTACCAAAAATCATTTATTTTCTAACAAAAGCCTGTCTTTATCACAGACACGGCCTGGTATGGAGATAAATCCATCATAATAACAATGAATATGAATACTTCATTTCCCGCCGGACCAACAAACGCGCACAATTTCAATTCCGAGTATTAGTTATATTACAATCTTGTAGTAAATGAATTGTATATAAAAGCAAAATAAAAATTGAACATACTTACTTACTATAATACCTACTCTGTTCACCCTACTTTTAACATCACGGGGTGAGAATTTTTTTATGTCAGTCACATGTAGCTGCTAATAGTATTACGTATGCGGAACTACAGTCTGGCTTAAGATTTGAATTAGGTATATATAGGCAATAATAATATACATTATATACTCTAATTACTATGAGCTATTATTGGGCGACCTATCCCTTCATGAATTTCCATTACAGAGCACCCTTTTCGTTCACCTTTTATAGATACTCCAATAATCTATTACACGGGAACGTGTTGTAAAAAGCATATTCGGTGAACATTGGACGTCTACGATACCACTGTCATGGTTGCTGCTGCTGCTGTCATGTGAGATCAGCTGAGCTGTGGCGGCGCAGGGCCAATGGGTTACACTGTGCGCAGTGCGGAGGGAGGGGCGCCCGTGAAGAGTGACTACTCCCCCCCACCCGCGTCGAACCGTCGCTCTCCTCGGCGGCCATACGTCCCCCGCGACTAGCGTCATTCGTGTTTGTTCTCTGCGTCGAGTGCGGAGTGCGCGAGTTATCGCTAGTCGCGCAGCAGACAGAAATTAGCCACCAGTATAATCTTGTGTGTGGCGGGTCTCGGTCTTTCGTGCATTTGTGGTCGGTAGAGCAGTGTGTGCAGTGTTAGCTCCGTGAACAGGGTTCGGGCACTGGCGACGGGCGGTGGTGAGGTGCGCGCGCGGGGCGCCAAGGGGGCACTGACCGACGACATCTCGGTACGAGACGCCGCCGTCGAAACACTCGCGCGTAACGCACCACCACCTACCTGTTTCCGTCTTTTGAGTATACATAACGGTACCATTCAGTGGGCCCTCACAACTCTAGCTGCTACTCTTAAATCGTTAATAGTCCTTTATCAGGGATCCTCAGAATCTGTGCATATTTGTTGGCTATCTTCTCAATTAGTCTAATTCATTCCGCTCCATATAGTTGTGCATTTACCTGACGTCAGAGAATACCCTAACGTGTTCTGATGAACATTTGAACACCCATAAGTATCTTGAGAAACCGTTCGGAATGTAGGGTCGTATTCCAGAACTCTACTCAATGCCCAAGTCAGGATTTGTGCAGAGTTGAGTATGATTTCAAGCACTGGAAATACGACCCTAATGGCAAGGCCTTGAGTATGATTTTAAGTGCTCACTGCAATACTCAAGTCCTGACTGGAGTATTGAGTAGAGTTCTGGAATACGACTCTTAAACATTCGCCACGCAATGTAAATAGGTAGGTACTACGTGTAAAATGCATGGATATGGAATCACCAGTTGTGAATGGGGCGCGGGCCGGCAGCCTCAGACGCTTACAACAACACTTCCGTCCATATTTCGGCGACGGAACGTAGTTATTGACTTGTAACGTGCGTAATTAATTAGTCACTCACGAAACATAAGTCCTAGCTAGTGTTTATCAGGCCTCATACTGATCTATATGTAATACTAGGAATGACTAATGGGGTCGGTACCCTGCGCAAAGCAACCCACATCACCACATCAAGTAATTTTCTAGGTTATTTGACTTGCCAGTTGCTTGTACAAAGAAATAATAATAATGTAGTACATTTGAAATGCTAATATTCCTGACGCGGTCGTTATCTTATCTTATCTTACACATTATACCGATGTACTTTATTAAGTAGACGAGACCGATTTTGTGTAACTTAATTAAAGAGTCGTCGTTGACGCGGCGTTCGAGGCGCCCATCACAAAAAGGTTTCTCTTTTGCATAACGCGCTTAGCGACCCTAACAACGACAAGCACGAAACTGTAGAGCAGCGTTGAGTGGAGCAACAGTGATGGACGCAATTAGCGTCCGCGACCGTTCATGCGTACCGCGGGCCACGATTGCGTGTTGCGTTGGGTTTGATAGCGATTGATAAATAGTCTTATACAGTTTTGTGTTGTGGCTTTCAGGCTAAATCGCGAATGTTAATTATCGATACAGTCGATCACACTCTTTCTTCTTTGAACTAAACCTGAATGAAACTGAATACGACGTGGGTAGATGTAGGTTCGTAAACTTAGTTTACTCTTTGAAATTAAGTAATGCACCTAGTTAGGGTACCCGCCACTTTACGATACGTTGGATTTTTGAGTAGCTAGGAAGTATTTCCTAGTCGCGCCGGCTAGACTAGTTATTGGCTACGTCTTGGGGTTAGAACTTTGTTTGTGTAACCTGTGACGCAGATTGGTATACTTCACGGGAGGAATTGACTATGACGGTGCACTGACCGTTCGATTGTGTGTGATGCTGCGTTGTGCGTATTCACCATCAACCATTCTACTATGTACTTATCTGCATTCTTCGTCGCGAGGTATCTACGCAACAAATAAGCCATAACATTTACGACAGCGAGCGCAGACAAAGACATCGAGCAATGCAATGTCGGCTTTGGTTGCTTCATTATGGCACAAATGTCGAAATGGTTACTCCCGGCAATGTGCAGTTTGCTTTATTAAGATAGGTATTCCAACATCTTTACCAGTGTTTGGAAACAGCTATACACATACAGGTGAGGGTTTAAGTAATGGCAACGGCTGTGTGTTTATAAGTAAGCCATTGTATCCATTTCAAATCATTCATCTCGAAGCACAAAACTGCCAATTTTCCAGTCGATCGAATTTGTGTTTTGTTAAACCGGCAAGTGTCGTTGTCTAATTGGGTAAACGAGATGGAGACGGCAGCAGAAGAAGAAGTTCCTACGGTGGCTTTATTTGTAGACGACTATTTTGATAGACGTTTATTTTGATTTCAGTTGTGTATTTATACGGCCCTGGGCGACAAGTCAAACGTTTTACTGAAAACTGACTATGGCATTCTCTACCATCATCATTCAGTACCATCGAACGTTGAGCCCATCAGGCACAAGTGGCTAATTTATATTTATCCTGAGAATTATACCTCTTGTGACTATATAGTGTCAGTTATAATGTATAACCTACGCTTTTCTCTTGCATGATTCCGCTATACCTACGCAGTTGTGCGCACGCGTCGGGGAGAGCGTGTGCCGGCGATGCGCGGTGGTCTGCTAACTATTTCTGTAGTTGACGCAGTGCTTAACTATAACTATTTCACGAACATTTGCGCGACCTGCTGCAGCTCGTATTCTGACATGCGTCACACAGTCCGTCCGTCTCTAGAAGCGGTACCTAACCAATTAATAGTATCACCTGACGCAATATTTATACTATGAACATATCAATAAATAAATAAATAAAAATAAATAAAATTTTGTTTATTCAGTAACATAATGTACAGAGAAAACTAAAGACTACTTATGCGATTTAATGTAAAAATAACACATGTACCTGAACTAGGAAATTCCTGTATTTCAGGTAAAAAGTACTACTAATTATAAATGTGGATACTATTAATATTATAAATACTTTTTAGGAGAATCTTATGAAATAAAATTAAACAATTAAATAATAAATTGCCATTAAAAAAAAAAAATAAAAAAAAATAAATAAAAAATGTACACTTAAACAAGACAACATTTAATTTACGATAATAAATAAATTCTCTGTATCCTCATAAGACATATTTTGAAGAGCTTCTTGGAGAATTTTCTTTACCTTAAAGCAACAGAAATTATAAATGGAATATTTAGCGTTTAATTTATTGTACAAAAATGGTCCAAGAAACACAAAAAATCTTGAAATAAAAGTATGTTTTGATGATATAATTTTGGGGCAGACAATATCTTTTCGTCTTTTATTAGTGTTTTCAGTAATATATGGGAGCAATACGTGCTGTTTGAGGACTGTGGACTTAATGAATAATTGCCTTACAGTTAATACTTTACATGACTTATACAGAAGGTCAGTGGGGTAACGGAAAGGGCGGTAGGTAGAAACCTTTAGGACATCTCGCTGGGCTCTTTCAATGATTAGTAAAGTAGTTTTAGCTATACCACCCCATGATGTAATGCAGTAAGTAATTAATGATTGGCATAATGCATAATAAACTTGCCTGATTATTTTAAAATCAGCAGAAACGCGCAGTTTTTTAAACACAAACATTAACTTACGGAGTCGGGCGCTTAGTGCTTCGATATGGTGTTTAAAGGATAGGATGTCATCTAATATAACACCTAAATACTTTATCTTGTTAGTAATAGCAATGTCTGGACATTTACACAGGTTGTTAGTAGGGTCAAAACAATGGTGAGCATATAGTTTAGGGTTAGATATAAATGACTTTGATTTCCGCATATGGAATTGCATAAAACAAGTTTTATCCGTATTTAGTGTTAGCAAATGATGTTGGAGCCAGTTATTTACTATATTGAATCCACGCTGTGCATAGTCGTATACCTCCTTGTCAGAGTTTGCAGAAAAGAGTAGAACAGTATCATCAGCATCAATGGTAGGTACTTCACAGCGATAGGTATATGCAATTTCTAAAAAAGCGATCGTTTAAACGATTGATGAGCACACGGTCAAGGGTAACTCAAGTTAGAGAGTTAGATAAGATTTAAATTCATCTCTATACCACATGCATTAAAAAGGCTCCGAAGTCCAGAGTCGAGCGTGACGTGCTGTGGACTGTACTTGTGTGGTATTGAAGAAACTTAACGAATGAAACAATTTCAATTTTAACTTAACTAATTTATATAAAAAAAATAATTGTAGTAGGTACGCGTGAGTATACATATATTGGCAGTCGAATGCACAAATCAACTGTATTTGTCTGACTATTACGTAAATGTAATGTAACCATAGATTTGTACCATGTAACAGCCATTCTAATAGTCCTAAGGTACTTGCACCTACCATATTTATGAAAGCGAGTGCCGTCTAACCGCTCGGTTAGACAGTGCTCTTTCAAGAGGAGCGGTGGCACGAATCCTCGCTTGTATAGGTCTATACAATTATATCCTTAGTTCCTTTTATGCACTATTTATACCTGCCTCCATGACTGAACGGTTGCCATGACTGCCACGTAGAGGTCCCAGACTCGATTTCCGGGCCGGGAGAAATAAGTATTTGTATGGACGACATGTATTTCCATCGTGAGGTTGGGTGTTCCCCTAGTGCGGGGCTATGTTGAGTGTGTGCGTTATTATTATTATACGTAATGTAATGATTTGACTATTTTGGCCAGTAACTCGACTTGCCGTTCATGTTTTAATGACTGTTTCCTTCAACACATTCCCGTCGATCGATTGGCGGGTGACTGAAAGGGGACTGTGTGGGCGCAGAGCCGCGGCGCTGCGGGCGGGGCGGGCGGCGCGGCCGGCATGGAGTGCGGCGTCTCGGCGGCCGGCGCGCGCGCGCCCTTCCACGCGCACGCGCACGCCGCGCTGTCGCCCACGGAGCGCTCGCCCGCCAAGTCGGGCCTGCACGTCAACTTCAGCGACAAGGGCGAGGTGCGTCTCGTCGACGAACGCGGCGACGTTCCGCCCTGCTGTTCCACTGACCCGGTGCTGCGCTTAATTGCAGGTGAAGGAACGTCGCGAGAAATTTCTCACTGCCAAGTACGGTAGCCACCAGATGGCCCTGATCCGGAAGCGGCTGGCCGTCGAGATGTGGCTCTACGACGAGCTCCAGAAGCTTTACGACCCTGCCGCGACGGTGAGAGTTTTAACAACATTTTATAAACAAACAAACAAAAACATCTGTGATAATATTTGTCCTCGATTATCTCACTTCGCAGGCCGAAATCAAAATTTGATATACCTATACATATGATATCTGCTGATAGTTGAATTTTTGCGAGCATTGCAATCACAGATTGCAATGCATGCACAGAATCACAATGCATGCATGCGTATGCTGGGGTACTTTTTGTACAGCAAAGGCGGTCTTATCGCTATGAGCGATCTCTTCCAGACAACTCTTATTAATTTATATACTTAAAGGTGGCCAAATGAGGGCCTTCGGGCAGTGTAAGTGCTAAGCGTTTAACCCCTACTACCTACTCTACCTACACTACCTACTCTACCTGTTACTACACCTCCCTCTTGAAATCAGATAGAGCAATAAGCGTTGGGGGCGGCGATCATTCGTCGTCTTTCAGTTATTTACTGCTAGATAACAGCACATCGAATAACACTTTCCAAATAAAACATAAAACAAGTTTTTGCAGTAAAAGGTATTCAACTTCCAACAATATGTCAACACAGTAAAGTTCAAATTATATTAACGTTCAGAATGTGTTACGTCCTTTTAAATTAGAAACTACGACCAATCATTAATTATTATTATAACAAGTTCAGACTCGTTTTTGTTCTGTATTCTCTCGCCAAGCCTAGATTGATCGGCCGCGTGGAAAAAACAGATTGTTGCATAATTTCCAATCCACAAACGTACAAAAAGACGATAGGAACTCCTCAACGTTTTACAGCATCTAGTTTGGTTTGGGCTCATCCGATTTTGACGAGGATTCCCAACTGCGTTTCAATTGTCGTTTTAAACACGGCGAGAGAGAGAGAGAGAGAGAGTCCGGATAAATAAGCAAACTTTTGCGGTGGGTCGCTATTGTAATAATGTAAACTTTTGCATTATTTTTTGAACCGCACGTTGCAGGGGGCGAGCAGCGGCGGGGGCGCAGGCGCCGGCGCCACGACGACGCAGGAGGTGGAGGTGGACATCGACGAGTTACTCGACATGGACGGCGATGAGCTGCGGCGCACGCACCTCACGGTACGGCCACCGCTTATCTAGTCCATTTGTTCGTCTTTCACTCCGTTACGACTAGTCGGTACCTACACCACGCCCGACACTACCCCATGATTGGAAGAGCTCGGTTTCCCCTCGACACGAGGGTCACGCCAAAAGAAATTACATGCTGTTTATTCGTCTGTTTGATACTGGCAAGTTATATACTCTTTTCTTTGTTGAGAGTTAAACCATGGTTGGTTGATTTCTGAATCTTTTTAAGATTTTAAAGTCGCTGGAGTCTTGCCACTAAATGTGGCAAAATAAAAATTTCGTCGAGATAAGGGCAAGTTCCTTTAAAACCTTCTTTTCGATAGTTCTTTCAAAACCTGAGACAGCGTTTGTCACACCAAATGGAATACGTCGAAATTGGTAGAGGTTTCCTAGAGCTTCGAAAGGCGTAAAATGACGTTCTTCAGTCAAAATGCGGACTTGATGCGTTACAACGACAAATCTAATGCGCTGAATATGCGGTATGTCGACATTTGGGACACCAGCTCTTTTCCATGTACGGTATTAGCAGGGGGAGCGAGCGGTGTCACATTTTCAAGCCATGGCTGTCTGATTGTGTTCGAATTTAATAAAGGTTCAATATAATAATAATTACGATGTTAGTTTTAGTGGATCCTATGTAAATAAGTTGTCATGGAAGTGAATAAAATTTTTATCTATCTATGTATCCAATTTATGCCAGCAATAAATGCGTCTCGAATATTATGAAATTTATTTGTTTAAAGGAAGATGTCCTTTTCAAAATGATAATCTTTCGCTAATAGCATTAGAGCCTGCATGTATAAGTGTCGACGCTCTCCTCGCTCTTTTGTTTCCTCGTAGTTGGCATGTGGCCAGTATAGACCACGTTTTGGGTTTACAGAATATTTCCATGAGGGTACTCAAGCCTTCATCGTATGTATTACTACATACGATTCCATAAGGGTACTCACTCATGTGTGCGAAGACTGTAGGAGACGCGTGTTTTATACCTACGTATGTCTAATTTCTTGCCAGCTTCATCTTTTAAAAAGTATGCCAAGAGACGTTCGGTAGGTTCTCTACTGATACTCCCATTCCTTCAATGTCCACACATCGAATGTTCAATTTTATTTTACTCTGAGAAATTTTTGTGGAATAAATTGATATATTAGATGAAAATACGGTTTTATTCCACAAAAATATTCGACAACATGAAATAATAATTTAATATACCAATTATTGTTATTTCCTTAATGGCGGCCACTAATAATAGTCCTATCTCAGCAACATCACATTATAGCCAGAGCGAATATCAGAAATAGCCAGAGCGAATATCAGAAACAACTGTAAATGGTTGCGATCACCACAGAAACGTTCAAGTTGTCGAAAGAAACGTACGTGAAAACAGACCCATTATTATTCCAAATTTCTGAGATGCCTGAAGAAGAGTGGTCTTCGGTATTTTACAAGTGGTCGAGACGTGGTTGAGAGGAATGGAAAAGTGTGTACTCTGAGAAAATCAATATCTTTAATAAAGAAGAAATTTTATAATAATTGAAAATCTAATTTCTTTTGGCATGAACCTCGTAATACTCAAAGACATGGCGCGGATGTGGCGCGAAGACGCTTGGAGCCGCCAAAGCCAAAGTAATGACGATCAGGAGCTCGACGACTCGTAAAATCAAAGACGATTTTAGATAACTGTGTTATATTTAAATAGGTGACTGGTTAGTTACAGGAGTAGTGCCGTTAAATCGATACAGTGATAGTTGCTGAAGGGGTACAGTTTTAAAAGTGAACGGTCCTTTTGACCTTTTTAGTTACGTACAAAATTCGTTACAAATGTAGTAGGGATGAAAAAGACATATGTGGTGTTACTTGATTGGTTCAAAATAGGCCCACGTAATGTGCCCTTGACGAGCAGCGTTTTGTTACTGCTTTGGAAATTATGTTAAAATCACAAAATTTGTTGCGTTCGCAACAACGCTCATAAGCAAAATACTGACGTTCATTTGTTTTGTATCAGGTAGTAAGTAAACTCTACATAATTGTATTTTGTTTTCAGTCATTATTAGCCGACGCCAAAAAGCCCCAGAAAGATGTGCATGTAAGTATTAATTACCGACAATGATCGAAAATATACCTAATCAAACTACTTTGCGCAATAAGCGGGACTTTTGGGTTCCGTAGTCGATAACAAGAAACCCTAATTATAGTTTTGTCGTGACTGATTTTTCCGTCCATTCTCATTATGCCACCAAAATGTCCAAGAGAACGAGGCGCTGGTAGCAAGCTTTTACTGGTGAAAGCCTCATTGCATACAAAATGTGATTAAGCCGAATTACGTAACGCTTCCGAAACTCTGGACCGGTTTTTCCGTTTCTCATGTTAAAATTAAAATTCATAGTTTGCATTTACTAGAATAACCGGGCGACCGTGTTCGTGGAAGAGGCAAATTATGGTCAAAGCTCCCAAGAAAATAACCGGCTGGGAAACATATAAAACGCACACACTCAACATAACCCCGCACTAGGGAATCCCTGTGTCGCGGGTGACATGGACACACACATAGACAATCATAAATTACACCCAAACTCACGAGATAAATAAATGTAGGCCATACAAATATTTCTCCCGACCCGGGAATCGAACCTGGGACCACTGCATGACAGTCCAGCATGGTAAACGTTCGGCCAGGAAGTCAGTTGTTAACGGACATGTTGTTAACACAGAACCTACGAAAGCGTAGTATATTAATAACCTTTTATTTTTTTCAGAAATTCATCAACGAATTGTTAGAGAAGGCAAAAACTTTATAAACTTTAGTGGTTTATAAATAATCCCGAAGACGAAACAAGAAACGCCGGCGACGCCAACGTGCTGACGTTGGTGCTGACCAAAGCGACCGTAACATCGGGAGCCCGCGCTGTGCCAACAATATGCTTAGCGCCCGCGCCCGTCCTCATGCTGTGTCGACTGAACCGTGTGCTTGTACAGACGCCCGCGCCGCGCAGTTCCTACGCGAGACCGAGATTTGGTTAGCAGTCCAGTGTCCTCGGTTTAAGGCACTCATAGGATAATTATTTAATGTCTAAGGTAGTCTGGTCTAAGAAGACGCATCCGACAAGAGTACGCAATTTTGATTGCCGCGAAGTTTGTTTACAATACGCAATTAATTTCAGTGTCATTTTGTAGTGCTAGGAAGTGGAGATTGTTGTGCGGAAAATATTGCAAAAATATTGCAAACTAAAAATCTGCTTTAGTCCGAACATTTCTATGTATTTGATATTTATAACGTTTTGATATTTGCAAATTGTCACAGAGACTAAATTAAACATATACTTTGAAAACTAACTTTGTACCAAATCGTTCAAAAACTTATGTCTATAGGTGAAACTGCAAAGGATTCTGGTCACTTGCAACTTATGGGGTTGTGTGAAGTGTGTAAGAGTACGCAACTAGATGTATTGCAAGAGTCCGCGTCTAACTATTTGTCTAAAATACCAAATTATTACAAAAAGTAGGACCAAACACGAGACAAAAGATACCAAATATGTCATTACCAGAAAGATATGGAGGTGCCCAGGGTGCCAAGATATTTACAAAGAGCCTAATGTATACACGCGAACATTGAACTTACTTCGCACGACACTTTGTAAGAGTCAGTAGTAGTACCTAAATAAAACAATTGTTGATTTTGTAACACTTTTTGTTTTCATTCTTCCCCGTCTCAAACCTAAGTTAAGTGCGTCTTCTTAGACAAGGCTACTCTATACAACAGAAATGAGTTATAATAGTTTTTACGTAATGGTTAAAAAGATACCTACTATACCTACTTAGTTAAGTAATGGACAACGAAAAGGGCGCGTCGTCGTCGCCGATCGGTGGTGGGACGCCGCGGAGCGCAGCGCCGCCGCCTTCGCTCGCCCTCTCCGAGGTGTTGGAACGCTCGCCGAATTATGGGCTGTGTTAATCAAATAGACGCATAGGTGTTGAATCCTATCCCAAAAAGTTGTTGGACTTATTTTATTTAAGACGTGCATAGACGTAATTCAAACTGTATCATTTCATATCAATGTACACTTTTTAATAATGAAATTTTGCTACGTCTTCGTATGTAAGTACATAATACATATCGATACACAGGACTTTACATAAAATATGTGTCATATTCTAGATGATGCTTATAAATAATACTGCCCTCCTTTTCTTATCGTGATTAACGCAATCGAAATGTTAGCGAAATTCAGTTATTAACATAACTGGGATCACCGCAACGAGATCTACATACAACCTCCTCTGCGGTTTTTTAATATCTTGTTGAGTTTTATTGTTAAGCAAAATGAGTGTAATTAACCATTTTTAGGTGACAATAAAACTTTAGGTGGCAATATCTCGAAACTCACCGAAATGCTAATGCGTCAGTTACGACAAGGAGGGCAGATACCCTGCTCATTTTTAGATGCTATGTTCTTTTGTCGCTATTCTTTTTAAACTCCATAATACAGGCATTCATGTATCTAATCATTGCAAACAGCAGTCGTCAATATCAATACTCATTTACCTACTTATGGAGTCCGTATCCTGACACTGAGGAGGTCCTATGAGGTTTTCTTTAGGCTAGTGGCTCCTGTAGTTCCTACACCGAGGTCTTCGCTCGGTGAACGTGTCAAAATGAAGCAAAGCTCGAAATTGTAATTTTTCAGTTGTTCATTATTTCTCGATTAATCTAGCCAGGTCGGAATAATGATCCCATTAGGTACATATCAGGGCCTGCGGGCGTGAATAAGTGCATCAGATACCTACGTAAACATTTTTTGTCATACTGTAGGTACCACTTGCGATGGTGCTGCCGTCGTCGTCGTGCCCAATTTCTGGCAAGAAGAAGCGAATTGTAATTCTCATGTGTTCGATGCGGTGTCGGGGTCGCCATTAACTTGCATTAATTGTGATTTCAATAGATAAGTAGATAAATGTAATGATTCGATTTAATTAGGTATGTAGGTCCCTGTCGTGCGGCGCAGGGTGCCGCTCCCCCCGCGCCCTCAGTGCCGCAGCGCCACTCTGTGTAGCATGACTGTCAGCCACACTTTGTAATAAATCAGTTTATTAGCACCCTTCGTTTCATTTCCGTTCACATTGTGTACAAGGTATGGCTCTCTAGAAAAGACGTAATAGGCCTCGTTGCTGGCTGTACGTATTTACGATCCGTACTCAACGGAGATGTTCTAATATCAGGTTTAATTGTGGAGAAGAATGAGAGATGGGACAAAATTTAATCACAGATAATAAATAAATTAAGTGTGATTATATTCCCTTATTATTATATTGTGACCGCTATTCTTGTTAGTGGGGCATGTTTGATGACGAATTATTTATAATGAAGTTTCACTGTTGCACGATACATGGACTGTAGCGCGATATCGCCCTTCGCAAATGGTCGGTGTAGATTATAGATATAGGTGTAGATGTGTCAAAAATTAATTAAATATTACGACGTTCTTCGCAAGTTGCTCCACAAAGTTTAATGCGGCATAGTTGGTATGTACGATCCAATTCGCACCTGGTACAAGAATATTCGACTCCGTTTACCTGTAAATAAACAACCCTGTGTTTTGTTGGCACTGAACCTACTATATTCACTATTGTAAAATCAATTTTTATAGCCATCCCTTCTAGTCTGCAATGCAAGAGATAACCGACAAAATTGTCTTTCCACACTATGTTGTTATCGGCGCACTCAACAGGGGCATTTCTGTGAATCTGATGAAAGTTGTTGACCGAATAAATCTCTGAGGAACTCCAGCATCAATAATCCGTTGATCAGAAGAGTCGCCATCCAAAATATAAAAGAACTTACCGTTAAGCAACACTATGCAGATTGATAACAAACGAAGTTGGAACGCACAAATAGAGAGTATATTTCCGCTAATGCATAAAGATTTTATTTCTTACTAAAATTTCCATTCACTTAACATGTAGCTATCAAGCTTATAGTAGCTTTCAAGTGAGCGGGAATAATGTTCTCGTTGCCTAGATGGTAGCGTACGGTGGCATTTAATAAAAAGGGACTGCATGCAACTCCAAACACCACTCTACAATGACGGTAAGCGACAAGCTGGCTTCGTTCCTCGTTTCCCCATCATAAAAACTCTCAGTATTTTCGATCAGCTACAGTCAGACTTATTTGTAAAAAGGCTTTTTTAATCTCTGCGGTTATATCACCGGCTTGTTTACGAAAATCAATAAGTAGTTTAGGTATCGTCTCCAGCAAGTTCAACTCAGGTTCTATCGAACTATTCAATGATCTACCGTTGACGTCTCTTGCCGATGCGTCAAATACTGGACATACTCTGGCCGTGAGGCTAGATTCCTTAATAACTGAGTGATGCGGTAAGTAATGCCCACTGTCGTCACCTTCTACCTGTTCCTTGAAAGCTATATCGTATGCGCGTGTTAGAAGATCCATGGCATTATTACTAAAGTACTAAACTCTATTATACGTATAGGGAAGTAAATTCTATTCTAAAGAATTCAAAAGCAGATTTTTAGTAAACCAAGTTTTATTTTAATGTAGGGTAAAACAAAATATCAATGAACAGTATAACAGTAAACCTAAGCAATTAAAACCAGAATCACTACCAGAAACATAATTCAGTTTTAATCAATTATGCTAGCATTAAACTACCAAAAAAAATGTTACAAGTGATTTAAAAATAACAGGTGAAACTAACAACTGAAACGAATAGCACTATTTCTAAAACTCAAGGATTAGTTTTAAGCACTGATATGTTTTAAGGTACTAGTTAATACAAAATTATAGCCAAGTGCTAAAAAAAGTAATTAAAATGGACAAGTGAAAACAATAACTATTTATAACGTATTTCATACGTTAGGTACTGAATCTACACCAAAGCCCAGGGACATTGGTCCTATTTACACAACACAATTACACAGTAGCAAAGCAGTAAAACAAGTTACAAAAAAGGTACTTAACTTTTCCTGGTTCAGGGTTCGGCACTTTTTATAATGAGCCACCCCACCCTTACATTCCTTTTTATACCCTTCAAAACCTCCTTTGAAAATTTACTCATACACCATTGACTTA